AGAGACAGAGACAGAGAGACAGAGAGACAGAGACAGAGAGACAGAGAGACAGAGAGACAGAGAGACAGAGAGACAGAGAGACAGAGAGACAGAGACAGAGAGACAGAGAGACAGAGAGACAGAGAGACAGAGACAGAGAGACAGAGATAGAGACAGAGAGACAGAGACAGAGAGACAGAGAGACAGAGAGACAGAGAGACAGAGAGACAGAGAGACAGAGACAGAGACAGAGATAGAGACAGAGAGACAGAGAGACAGAGACAGAGACAGAGACAGAGACAGAGACAGAGACAGAGACAGAGACAGAGACAGAGACAGAGACAGAGACAGAGACAGAGACAGAGAGACCGAGAGACAGAGAGACAGACAGACAGAGACAGTGAATTGGTTAGAGAAAGAGACAGAGACAGAGAGACAGAGAGACAGAGAGACAGAGACAGAGAGACAGAGAGACAGAGACAGAGAGACAGAGACAGAGACAGACAGAGACAGAGACAGAAAGAGAGCGTCACAAGTGCTGAAAGACAGGGCGTGAGCGTGGCTGTGGTCACAGGAAACGTGCTGGAGCATCTGGATAGGGCGTGAATGCTGTTTGTGGCCAGCGCCTATGAATGCAGAGGGTGAGGGAAGACGGGTGTTTGAGATCAAAGTGGATCCTGCTCGACCTGTCGAAGCAATCGGTCTGGCATCCCTGAAAGGATGTGCTAGAGCACCGTGAGGCAACGATGACAAGTTGAAGCGATTCGGCAATGACAACATAGTACCAGACATTACAGGTTGAGTTCGACTTGTGTGCCTGCACGCACTTTGGCTCTTGCAGGCACACAAGTCAATCTCTATGTCCGTCGTCTCTGCCACGTAAACTTTTTGTGCCAAAGAAGGTATAGTAGAGCAGTATCGATTGAGGCAAGGTTGGGTTTGCCAGAGAGAAGGAGCGAGAAAAGGCGCACCACACAAGGCGAGCCGGGTGCAAAGCTCAGCCGTTAATTCAAAAGCGAGTTGAATCCAAAAGAAATCGCCGCGCAAACCGGATCTGTTGCCGCCTTTTCCTGGTAGACACTTGCTAAGTGCTCCGCAGGCATGATCCGGTAGTAATTCGGATGCGCGGCCGCGTTTCCATGTAGGCGCTGTTGATCCAGCAAAGAAAAAAAACCATGAGGCGACATGCCTCGCCCTCGCAGCCGCGTGCAAACTTCAATGTAGGCCTGGCGCATCCTCCATTGAGCTCCGGGGGAAGCCTGCATGTAGCACGACTGTATGTACGGAAATGATGGATGATCTACATCGGCCAGGTTGAAAAAAACGTTGAGAAAGTTGGCGAGGTCGATGATGAGCGGGGATGGGCCGCCCCACTGCATTTCGTTGGCGTGAAGCTTCCAAAGCAGCCAGTTGCTGAGACATCTGGCCATCTCACGCTTGCGGATGGGTTCCGCAATTTCATCAACGCTGCGTTGCAGTATGTCCGTGGTAGCTCGCAGCTCCTGCAGCTGCTCGTCCTTCTGCTCCATGGCAGCTAGCATGGCAGCTCGCAGCTCCTCGGTCTTGCGTGCATTCTCATTGTCCTTCTGCTCCATGGCAGCTAGCATGGCAGCTCGCAGCTCCTCGGTCTTGCGTGCATTCTCCTCGTCCTTCTTCTCCATGGCAGCTCGCAGCTCCTTGGTCTTGCGTGCATTCTCCTCGTCCTTCTTCTCCATGGCAGCTCGCAGCTCCTTGATGCTTTTCTTGTTGCTCTCAGCCTCAGCCTTGAGAGTCGCATGATTCACACCCTCAGAGCACTGCTTGACTGCTTCCTCAAGCTGAGCCACCTTTGCCAACACATCGTGCTGCTCACTTGCAGGCCGATTTTCATCCTTGCCTTTCAATGCCTGTAGCGAATTCAGCTGCATCTTCTGTTCTTGAATGCGCTTGCTGCTTTGTTCTTCCTTCTGTGCAAGGAGTTCTTCCACGTTCGACACTGCCATGATAAACAGAACATTTTTGGGTCAGAGGGGCGGAGGAGCTTGGAAGAGCGCATCGAGGCGAAAAAAGCAAGGTCTGAGAAATGCATTTTTGCAAAAACGCCCTGCTTCGTGGTGTTTGGCAATGGATACGTACGTCGACTGGATAGGTCGTCTTGTGGTGGCTGCTGTGACAACGGTGATGGCACATCCATGGCGGCGAAGGTTGGAGCAAAAGCACACGTCAGGAGGAAGGTGAAGTGAAAGGATCGACCACGCAATGCAAGGTGCAGGCTCGAGAAAAAACAAATTGCAACACAGCCAAAGCCAAAGCCAAAGCCGAAGCCAAGTGGTGGGGGCAGCAGTGGGGGCAGAAGTGGTGGTGTTAGTGGTGGTGGTGTCAGTGTTAGTAGTGTTAGTGGTGTTGGTCGTGGTGGCAGTGGTGGAGATAGTGGTGGCGTTGGTGTTTGTGGCAGTGGTGGGCGCAGTGGGCGTAAATTGTCGACAAATGCATGTGTTTTTTTCCCGCCAAAAAAATTCTTCACACAATGAGTGACGTACCCGAAGAGTGAGTGAGACAACAGGAATGGCTTGCTTTGCTGCGATGGTTCCAAATGGAAATGCACAGAATGAAAAAGTTGCTTGCTACTTGGTCAACGTTCTGTCCGCCAAAAATAGACGATCAGGGGTTGACCGTGCGTGCGTGTGTGTGTGAAACAGTGCTGGAGCATCTTGAATGGATGTTGCTTGTGGCCATGGGAGACGCGCCGGAGCACCTGGACATGCCAGTGAATGTGGTTTGTGGCCAATGACTGCAGAGGGTGAGGGAGGACGGGTGTTTGAGATCAAAGTGAGCCACCAGAGGTCGGTCGGTGTCTTGACTGCTGCTACAAGTCACCAATGGACTTGGGCATGATGTGAACATGGCACAGTTCGGGAAGCTTTCAGTGAGGAAATGATCGCGGGCGCGATGAATGCACGTGAAAGCAGAATAACTTCTCTGTGGAACTGTCAATTTGACGCCAACGACACTTTCTTGCTAAGGATACAATCGAAATGGGGGTTGCGCCTGGCCCTCGCGGGCCGGCACTAGGCACAGTAGAACAAGCAACACGCACGGAGGTAGCACCTCGTGACCTCTCTGCGTCCACTCAAGGTCTTATCGAAAACAACAAACAACATCCTTAAAACACACAATCGATCGCCGCCACAGGCGGACCGGGACACCATGCTGGTCGGGCTTTGGTTACACTTGGGTACAATCACAGTCACGAAGAAGAGCGTTGGTCAAGCTGCGATCCAGGTTGCGACTGCGCATGACAGGACTGTCCACCCGAGTCGTGTCCAAGCCTGCAAAGGTGCGATTCAAGCGCTGGCTAGACTTTGCTTGCGGGGTACGCAGCACGGCCGGCAGACGGCGCTGCTGCGCAGCCATCCTTGCCATGCGAGGTGCAAAGCTAGCGGATGGCGTGGTCAGCCCACCCGTACTCGGAGCAACATCCACATCTGACTTGCCACTAGAACCGACGAGAGCTTGAGAAGACGCACGTGATGCCAAGGGCGCCACAGGCGAGCACCCCGATTGCTGCGCCCGAGACTGCTGCATCAACTTGATAATTTCACCTTGGCGCTTCACAATCAGGCGTGACCGCATCAGCTCGGCGGACAGTGGCTCCAAACCCATCTCCTCGACGAAGCGCACAGCCGTCGTCAGTTTGGGACTTGTGACGGCCTGCTGCCACAGCGCGCGCTGCTTGTCAGATAAGGTTACAGGCAGGCCCTTGCCTGGAGTTTGTGCCTGCTGTTGCTTGGCGGGGCTGCGTCCCGATGCGGGCGTTCGGGGCAGAGACGCCCTCGCATCTGGTCCCATCTCGCGGGACGGCGCGCCTTCTGCTACAAAGGGCGACGGCAAAGGCACGCTTTGCCGACGGCTTTGCGTCGCCGAGGCGGCGGACACCAGCTCTTCCGTGCGTGGCGCGCTAGCACTGGCCGAGCGCGCCGGAGTGAGTTCCTCGCCATCGTCCGACGTCTCCCCCTCAAAGATGGCACGTTTTGTCGATGACCGGTGTGTCGATCGACTAATGGCCGAATCCGGCATTGGGCCCTCGAGGGCCTCACCGACACCTACGTGTGGGATGACCAGACTCCGCGCCACCGTCAGCTCAATGGCCTCTCGTGGGAGCTGTTGATCGACGCCGACGCCCGGAACTTGCAACAGCGAAGGCTTGCGAGATCCAAACATGGAGCCAAATCCCGACGACTGCGCACTCTGCAGCAACTTGAGACGATGTTCACCGTCGCTGGAAAACGGGGGCTTGGTTTGCAGGCGTGTCAGCAATACAATGTCTGAGCTCTTGCGCGGCTTGCGAACGGGTCGCAGCACGTCCAAGTCTGGGTCCGCATCGGCATCGGCATCTCCCTCAAGATTCGATGGGCCGTTCCACGAGTCGGGTCGTGAGCCTTCCGCTATCTTGGCACTGCTAAGCCTTGAACCGTCGGAATGTAGCAAAAACTCAAACTCACGCATCGGCCGCGATTGGTCTCCTGGGTGCAAGATGGGAACAGTCGGCAGCGAAGGCAAGCCCACCGGCTGCACATCAGCCTCCGCACACTCTAGTCTCACCTGGGGCTGATGCCCCGCGGTCGGTTCGGTCCAGCGCGTAGCAACAGGCAACCAGCGCGCTGTCTCGGCTCCTTGCTCCGACTCGGCTCCAGTCTCAGAATCAGAGGTCAATACAGTGAGCGGTGGTGCCGATCGTGCCGGGAGCAGGCTAGAGGCTGATGGTGACCCCGCGACATCAGCAGCTCCCGATGAAGTCACATTGTTGGCCATGCGCACCAGCGCAGGGTTGGATTGGCGCGGGCTTGTCAGATTCTCGTGTGGCTGTCGGCGGTAGTTGTTGTGCAAACGCTGCCAGGACACATCCGAGGCAATGCTATCTTGGCTGCCAGCGTCACTGCTGGCCTGCTCGTGCTCTTGCTGCAATACTTGCTGCACCTGGGCATGCGCCAAAGGGCCTCGAGCCCGTGGCACAATCTCGCGCGTAGCCAACTCGACCCACGACCCTCGAGCACCGGATGCAACGGGGCGCGCCACGCGCGCTTCAACAACTCCCACGTCTTCCGTGCCGTCAAGAGGGCGGGTCGCAGCAAGCGATTGCTCACGACCCTTTGCTGGCTCCCAATCACTGCCGTAGTCCAGGGGTGCAACACCCACATCGCTATCATGACCTGCATCGACGTCCACCACGTCCCCACGGCGCGCAAAGGGCTGGACCAACGCTCGAGGTGCCGTGGCACTGGTGTTGCGGGACGTCATTGCCCCTTCAAATGAAAAGCTGCTGTTGTTGATAGCGGTGGCGCCATTGGTGTGTAGCTCAAAACGGGGCGACAAGTCGCGCTTGGCACTCACCACTCGCGGAGAGGCAGACCGCAGCCGACGTAAGCTCGCATTGCCCTCGACCTCATTGCCATCGCACGAAGCATTGGTGCGGCTCGCACTGGCCAACGACCGCGGCGTCATAAGAAAGAATCGCTCATCATCCTCGTCGGATTCAGACTCTGACTCTTCATCAGACTCATCAGCATCTTCCCTCAAGTCTTCTTCTTCGTCGCTCGACTGTATGGCAAGACAAAGGTTGGGCCGGATTGAATGAGGCAAGCTTTGTGTTTGCAAACACGAGCTACGAAAAATGACAAACATAACGGCTAGCAGACAAAGCAGCAGCAGGCCAAGACACCACTTACACCCGATCCAAACTCATCGTCACGGAAGCTCATCATCATGCTCACGTCTTGAGGCGTCAGAGTGGGCTTGTACCCCCGGCCAGGTGGAGGCCACCGTGCGGCAACGGGGGTGGCCACCACGGCAACCTCGTCCTCGTCTTCATCATCGTCCTCGTGTTTAGTAGCTTCCAGAGCCAGGTTGCGCGGTGATGCCACCACAGCAGGCGCAGCGGAAACAAGGCCTATCGAGTCGCCCAAACGATCGTACTCGCCATCCGAACGCGTGTCGGGCTCGGGCACCTCGTGCAGCGCCAATAGCGTCGGCTGATTCATCTCCACCTGCTCCACGAGGGAAAGATCGGAACGCTCGCCCTGCTCGCTCAAGTTGAGCGACTTTCGGCGAGCCAAAGCCTCGGTTGAGGCTGGGGCACACAGCGGCGACATGGGCGAGTCGATCTGGGAGACGCCTTCGGAGAGCTCAGGCTTGACCAGGCGTCGCTTCCGTGGCAGAGCCTGTTGCGTCACGCTACTCACCGTCAGCTGGGAGGCATTGGAGTGGATGCTGGTGGCGCTTGGGGGCGGGCGTAATGGTGAGAGACAGACATCCGAGGCTGTCAGAGGCGCCTCGGTCCCGGCGCGCTGTGCAGCCGCCATCTGCTGCGAGAGCTGAACATCAATCCAGGATATGTCTCGCCGGCCAGTCATAGTTGGCTCCACGTCAGCATGGCGAGATGCGTTGCCCGGACGAAGTGGAGAGAGGAGCTCCTTAACCGAGGGCTCGCGTCGAGGAGAATCAAAGCGTGGGTCTGCGATTGAGTAGGCAGCGTGGCACGTCGATGAGCGTGAAAGGAGAAGGCAGAGGGCGTCAGTCAACCGATGGATAGCAGGCCGGAGGGGTCTGGTTGGAAGTTGTGCTACGGACCATTCAGGGCTGGGAAAGGGCGGGGTCCCCCCCGGAATGAGCGCTCAGTGACGGGGCGACCCTCGTAGGGAAGCTCACCGCGTGGGCGGCGTGGCGAGTGACGTAGGGCCTCGGCAGCCGCTGTTTCCTCCTGCGCACTCGACCCAAAAGGGGGCAGTGAGCAGGAGCTGAAGAGGCAAAGCACAGCATGGTAGAATGACGAGATGAACTCAGACCCGGGACCTACCCGGATGACACCCAGTTTTCGATAGGTCGGTGGTGCCGGGTTGTGTTGTTGTTGCTGTTGTGGACTGTGACGTGACACTTGCAAGCGCGGTGGCGAACCCGACAGATTCAGAATGTCCTTGTACACGGGATTGCGTGACTATTGGCCGCACAACGGGCGTGAGGGTTGGCCATCAGAGAGCCGCGAGCAAGTGTAAAAAAAGAAAGCCCACCCTTTTTGCTGGTGACAGCCCGACTGAGCTTGTGGTGACATTCGGGTCGTCCATGTGCACCAAGTTTCTATGGACGAGGGACACAGGGGGATGGAGGGCCAGGCAAATGAGGTGCCTCAAAAAGGCGCGTGCTGTGTACGACCCACTGCTGGGGGGGGGGGGCAGACCGGGCCATGTCAGCGCACCGAATCTCAACCAAGAGGCGCGAGGTATGCTCGGAAGCACCCAAGCGCTTGACAGGCTGACCATCGTGGCCCACGAGGAAGCGCTCAAAGGGACCCATGAGATAGGCTCCCGAAGTGCAGCCCGTGGCGGTGCGGTGGCGAAGAAAAACCATGAGGGGCTCGGCATCGGGGCCATTGACGCGGACCGGAGCGAAGACCTGCAGGTTCAAATCGAGCTTGGCAAGGAGGCGGAACATGGCAACGCGCAGTTGGACGCGGCGGCTGCGCGAGCGAGAAGCCGTAGAGCCAGAGCTGTCCAGGGTCAACTCATCATCGTCGCTGGAGACAACACCCTCCGCTTCACCTCCATCAAATTGGTCTGTCACAAACAACAAGACGCGGAAGCCATGGCCCTGATCATCAAATTGCTGCTGCAAGCTCTAAATACGGGGCAAGAGAACACGGCAGTAGGATGGGAGGCGGGGGTCAGACTGTACGCACGGCCTTCAATTCCACCGAGACCGACAGCATTGGGGAACATACATGAAGCTGGGTGAGTTGGCGTGCAACCTCGGGTTCACGAAGCGCGACCGGGACAATGAGCAGAACTTGGTGGCGATAGGCGTCCAGGGCACGAGGACGCTCGTCGAGGTCAAAACAGGTAAAGTCATACACGGTGACAGTGTCATGCAATAGCGAGGGCCGCTGCAAAGAACGAGCCCAACCATGAGTGCAACCAGGTGGCCACAACGAGCGGGGTCTGGGTGCGCGACCCCAAGCTGGTGAAGGCCCATACTTACGGGAATGGCTTCTTCATAGGTGGCACCAGCTTGGAGGCAAGCTCGCAGCCAGCGTTCGATGCCAATGGCGCGCTTAGCCTGGAGATGAAGCCGAACGTGGCGCCCGGAAGGTGAGGTCACGTCGAGCCAAATGGCATCGTGATGTTTGCCGTCATAGCCGACGCGCCAGTTGGCTTTCTGTTGGTTTGGTGCGGTGTTGTGCCATGAGAAAGCGGGCAGGGATAGGCAGCACGTCGGGATGTGAGAGGAGAGCGAGGCGCGTACGGTCAGGTTGATGAAGCCGCGCGGGGCTGAGGCGTCATCGTCAGTGTAGTAGTAGAAGATGTGTTGTTGTTGCCAGGTCGTCAAGAGGCAAAACTGGCGTTTGCGACGGCGTAGTGTGCTGCGAGCATGGCGCAGCTGCAACCAGCCATGGATTGTGGCGTGAGTGAGGGCATGCAGCACCGAAGGGCCATCCCCGCCTTGGGCTGCAGGGTGCGTCTCGGGCTGCGCCGTGAGACTGAAGAATGGGTTTGTGAGAAGGGGGATTGGGGATAATAGGAGGAAAGTGAAGGTGAGGACAGCGCTCACGCTACAACGGCAGGTACACACGGCCAGAGAGGAAAAGCGTGGGAGGTGACGCACGTGTACAGGGCGTTACGCGAGTCCATAAATTGAACATGTCGCAGTCCAGTGAGGTAGCCGCCAGCCACCAAGTGCTGGCAGACTTCTTGACCCTGATGGTTGATTTGAACAACGCCAGACGGATGAGCATGTTACGCACACAGGGTCGGCGATGGAGAAAAAGAAACAACCCCCACCCCCTCCCTGATTGTGGCTGTTTGTTGGTGTGACGGATGGTGCCAACCTCGACGCGAGATGTGACGTATCGATGGGCCAAGAGGACATCAACGGCATCACGGCCTGAGACGGTGCGTGGGGCAGGGTCGGTCTGGCTGGCCGGCGGTGGAGCGTGGTCGGAGCTGGAAAGATTTGGCTGGGCCGAGGCAGAGCGGGACCTCTTTTTGACGGGCTGCATACATGTGAGAAGGCCCTGTGCCACTTCGCGGGTGGAGGAGCGTGCCTATGAAGGGAGTCAAGGTGCAGATGAGCTCCTGAGTGGGAGCACGAGCGGGGGTGATGGGTGCTTGCGAAAGGGAGAGTCAAGCGCACAACCGTACTGGGGAGGAGAGAGAGTGCCAGAGGGCCGAAAGCTCAATGGCCGATCGAGCGCGAGGAGCATGGGGAGGGCGCGGGGCTGACGCTCGAGTGGAATGTTCCGCTAGAGCAGATTCAGTCGGCAGCTCATGAGCGGCCTCGACGGTGTCGGGATCACCATTCTCCTTTCCGGCCAACAGCGTGCGTCTACCAGATAGTTTGGGTGGTGATGGTGTGGACGATGTTGTGAGCGGAGCCACCTGGCCCTGAGTGTGATGGGGCTGGCCGGCACGGGCCGGATGAAGCGAGGTTTGGCTTACGTGGCTTGCTTGACAAGGTGCGCGTCGGGAACACGGGTGGGGGCGCCGATGCGCGCTGGCGGGGCCGCCTGGTTGCGAGCGCGCGCCATAAGAGGCATGGCAGCGGCGGCGCTGGGCAGGTGTTGAGCTCTGGCCTGCCCGTCCAGCAAAGTCTACTCGGGCCGCCTGCGTGGTGGGAATGGCGTTAGCGGATGGATGTTGATCCGGTTGCGGGCTGCCATTGACTGAT